GAGCAGCCGTGGCCATGAGACCAGGCTATGTGCATAAGGTGCTTGGAAGTCACTCAGAGTCACAGGGACAGAAGAAGGCCTGGAGGTCATACCTGCTTCACTCCCCTCAAGAGAGATGCCTCAGTTCTCCAACTTCTCTTCAATGGCACCTGTAAACAAACGGGTTCTCCTTCCCTCCCTCCCTCCCTCCCTCCCTCTCTTTCTGTCAAGCTCTTTAAATTATGCCACTTCATTTGAGGTTTAACATGGTAAATTTTTTTTTTTAGACAGTCTTGCTTTCGCCCTGTCGCCAGGCTGGAGTGCAGTGGTGGGATCTTGGATCACTGCAACCTCTGCCTCCCGGGTTCAAAAAATTCTTCTGCCCCAGCTTCCTGAGTAGCTGGGACTACAGGCATATGCCACTATGCCCAGCTAATTTTTATATTTTTAGTAGAGGAGGTTTCACCATGTTGGCCAGAACAGTCTCAATCTCTTGACCTTGTGATCCGCCTACCTCGGCCTCCCAAAGTGCTGGGATTACAGGCATGAGCCACCATGCCTGGCCTAACATGGTAAATCTTAGAGACCATCCAACTCCCACACCCTTATATTAATACTGTTAATGTGGCTGGATTCATTTTTGGCCTAGCATCTGCTCCCTCTTGCTGAATGTGCCACGTGCCAGCGGACTCCAGAGAAGGTGGAAGAGTGAATGCGGCCTTCCCGTGCCCAGGTGGGGGGTGGGTGGCCATCATTTGGGTGATTGGTAGTGTTGTCCAGACATTTGTCTTTACTGGATTTCTGTTGAGGGGTGTTGAAGTCCCTGATTCTGATTGTGGAATCGTTTATTTCTCCCTTTAACTCTGGATGTTGCTTCATGTGTGTAGAAGCTGTCACAGGTGGATTCAACTCTGTGACTGTCCGGCCCTTCTGAAGAACCAACCCTTCAGCATGATGAAGCATCCCTCTTTATTTCCAATAATACTCTTTGTCTGAATGTCTATTTCGTCTGATATTACACGGCTTCACTAGCATTCGTATGCTTACTGTTCACATGATATGTTCTTTTCCTTTCAGTCAATGTGTCTTATAAAGTGAATCTCTAAGGACACTAGTCTAATCAGACGAAAAGTAAAGTGACTCTTATAGACAGTATATAGTTGGCTCTTGCTTTAAAAAACTGTCTGACACTCTCTGTCTTTTAATTGGAGTGTTTATTCATATTTAATGTAGTTGTTGATACGATTGGATTCAGTCCTTTTTTTGGGGGTAGGAGACAGAGTCTCCTCCTGCCACCCAGGCTGAGTGCAGTGGATGACCATGGCTCACTGCAGCCTCCACCTCCCACGGTCAAGCCATCCTTCCGTCTCAGCCTCCGGGTAGCTGGGACTACTGGCAGGTGCTGGCGCGCTCAGCTGAGCGTCTTTTGTTACTTGTTTTCTGCTTGTTTCCCCTGTTTTGGTTGCCGTGCCTCCTATCCTGCCTTCATTTGAATTATGTTAATATTTTTAAGAATTCCATAGTAATGGATGCGTTGACTTTTTAGCTGTGCCTCTGCATTTTTTAAAGTGGCTACTCATGGAATTCCAATGTGCATCCTTAACTTTTGACGGTTTTCTTTGATTAATACTGTAAGATTGTAAGTACATTGGTAAACCCCGCAGCAAAATAGACGCACCTGCTTCCTCTTCATTTTTAGTGCTGTAGTTGCCGTGGCTGTTACATCCACACGCTGTGGAAACCTCACAAGAAAACGTTTTACTTTTGCTTTAAACAGTCTTATGTATCTTAAAGAAATTAGGAGGAAAATGAGTCTGTATTCATCCAGCTGTTTACGGTTTCAGGTGTTCTTCATTCTTTCCCGAGGTGCAGGTTTCCATCTGGCCTTGCTTCTCTTCAGCCTCCTCCATTCCTGATCGTTCTGCGTAAATGCGCAGGTCTCACCTCTGCAGCCGGGTTGTAATCCCCCGAGGGCAGATCCTCTAGGAACCAGCCTGCTCACTGTCTAACACAGCCCTGAAAGCTGAGCACACTGACTTTCCCCGAGAGCAGTGGCCAGAGAGAGTTTAATTTACGCTCTGCAGAAATGTGGCAAGTGATTTTTTTTTACTACTAATCAAACAGATTACTTATCAGATGGCATGGGTTAAAAATTACTCAGTCTAAAAATGTCTGCTGAACAAGGGCTTAATTTTAGCAAACAATTCTAAATTGAGTACTTATGAAAAGCAATTTTATGATCCCCAAACCCAAAAGACACCCTCCCTGCTTCAGATAAAAAGGGAAATTGCTTGTGTGAGTAATTATTTCTGGAGCTGACCACTTACTGGTGTGGAAAGTTATTACACACACCCGCTGCTTGTTTCCTGGGGCTGAGGCCGGCCATGGTGGGCTGGGAGGAGGCTCTGGGGCCACTGTGGGGGCTGCCTGGATCGGGGGCAAGGCTGGTGCAGGGAACAGGGTGCCATTAAGGAGCCCCAGGGGTCCTGATGGTACATGGCTGCTTTTAAATTATGAGATTGACGAGAGTCTGTGTGTGTGAGAGAGACAGACAGGCAGGGTTACAGAGAGAGGCGGAGAGGGGGAGCCATGAAATGCCACAGAAAGGTACAGCCAAGCAACAGCTGCCGTGTAGCCCGGCAGAGCCCCTGCTGCTGTTTCCAGAATGGCTGTTTCACAGGCAGCTTTGTGAGTCCTGGGTCGCTGCTCGGGGACGGTGTGGACCTGAGGAGTCTGCTGCAGGATGCCTTCTGGAACCCTCTCCTCAGAGTCCCGCCCATGCCCATTCCTCCTACACCCATGCCCACTCCTCCTGTACCCCATGCCCACTCCTCCTGCACCCCGTGCCCACTTCTGCACCCATGCCCACTCCTCCTGTACCCCATGCCCACTCCTCCTGTACCCCATGCCCACTCCTCCTGCACCCATGCCCACTCCTGCACCCCATGCCCACTCTTCCTGCACCCCATGCCCACTCCTGCACCCATACCCACACCTGCACCCATGCCCACACCTGCACCCATGCCCACTCCTGCACCCATGCCCATTCCTGCACCCATGCCCACTCTACCCCATGCCCACTCCTCCTGTGCCCCATGCCCACTCCTCCTGCACCCATGCCCACACCTCCTGTACCCCATACCCACTCCTCCTGCACCCCATGCCCACTCCTGCACCCATACCCACACCTCCTGCACCCATGCCCACACCTGCACCCATGCCCACTCCTGCACCCATGCCCACACCTCCTGCACCCATGCCCACTTCTCCTGCACCCATGCCCACACCTCCTGCACCCATGCCCACACCTCCTGCACCCATGCCTACACCTCCTGCACCCATGCCCATACCTCCTGCACCCCATGCCCACTCCTCCCGCACCCATGCCCACACCTCCTGCACCCCATGCCCACTCCTGCACCCCATGCCCACTCCTCCTGCACCCATGCCCACTCTTCCTGCACCCATGCCCACATCTCCTGCACCCATGCCCACACCTGCACCCATGCCCACTCCTCCTGCACCCCACAGCCGCTCCTGCACCCCACATGCCCACTCCTGCACCCCCCATGCCCACTCCTTCTGTGCCCCTCATGCCCACTCCTCCTGCAGCCCAGGTTCATACCTCCTGCACCCAGGCCCAACCTCCTGCACCCAGGCCCAGACCTCCTGCACCCCATGCCCACTCCACCTGCACCCAGGCCCACACCTCCTGCACCCAGGCCCATGCCTCCTGCACCCCCTGCTTGCACTGTGCTGTCCTCCCTGGAAGGTGGGAAACCCAAGGTGGGGTGCCTACCAGCCCAGTCTGGCACAGAGATGGAGCGAACTAGAGCCTGGCGAGAGCTGTGCACTGTTTGCAGGGGTTCCTGGGTGCCACTCTGTTAAAGCTGGGGTTGGCTGGTCACAGGGGCAACCCCTCTGTTTCTTCCCACCAAGGCACGACCTGTCCGTGGGCAGCAGCTTCCATCAGTAGAGTATGGCACGAGGGACATCTTGAGATTTCCACGCCTGGAGTTGAGGGCACTGGCGGCTTTGCCTCCTTCAGTTGGGAATGGCCACAAGTAAAGCCAGGTGTACTCTGCAGAGAACATGAGTTGGGTTGGGGGACACACGGTGGGGAGGGAGAGAAGGAGAGAGGGGAGAGAAAGAGCAGGGAGAGGGAGAAAGACGGGGAGAGAGTGGGGAGAGCGATGAGACAGAGGGAGGGACGGTGCGGCATGTGGTGAGCAGGGTGTTTTCTTCTGATGAAGGCTGGTGGAAAAGCAAGATAGTTCTGGGCTCCTCATGTTTCTCTTCACTACTTTTTACATTTGAATCAAAGGTGTTGGACATAAGTGGGCGATAACCTGGTCTTTTTCCCATTGGTGAGATTGTGAAACAGCAAAGTTAGCATTCAACTTCGAACTTGTCCCCCAAAGCTGAAAAGTGCTCCCCAGATGGGACTGGTAAAGACAAGAGTCTAAATACAGGCAAATGAGCTACAGTTCTTAAAAGTCATTTTGTCTGACTGTGCTTTACCCCTGATGCTTCTGCAGAGATTATAATTGTGACATAATCTGGTCTGTATTTCTCTGCCTTTTAGTATTAAATTCATATTTTTATAAATGTTTGTTGACTACAAAAGGAGATGATATTCGTCACATCGGTTGTTGGAAAGTGGATGGTCGGATGCCTGCAGCGTCAGAAGGAAGGCCCCGTCTGATCTGCGTGGGCCGAAGCGGGGATGTCGGCTGAGGGGGGACGTCGGATGCAGATGACATGTGGCAGCCACACTTGTGCCGGGCTGTGGGCGACGCTGCTTGGGGAGGAGTTTGGTTTTCTGATGAGGACGTCCCAAAGCAGACTCGGGCTAAACTCCAAGGCATATCCGAGCTTGCAGAGAGGCTGGATCTGTGCTGCCCTCCTGCCTGTGAGCTCGCCCTCAGCACCCCGTGAACGTCCCTCCCCTGCCTGTGAAGGTCCCTCTCTTCCTGCTCTGCTCTCTTTTGACCTTTCTTTCCTTTTGTCCTCGAATAAAGGCCTGTGTCTCGTGGAGGTGGGAACCACTACCTGTTGGGAGGCCAGGACTGGCCGACAATGAAAAGACGACTGTTTTCCGAACTCACTCAGAGGCTTGTGGATCCGACCTTTACTTCCAGATCAGAGAAAATGATTTTGATTTCATGTTTTTGTTACAACGACATTTGAAGGTATGACCTTTACAGCGACATTTGTCTCTCACTCAAACGCTTTTTGCCCCCTTAGGTTTTGTGCTGAAGTCAAAGTGGATCAGGTGGTGCGGACGGCTTCTGCCTGAGTGCACCCGCGGAGAACGTCATTCCCGTCCTCTCCTCCCTTCACGCTGTTTCTGAGGGGTTCGGATGTGTTGAAGACCCCTCTCCAACTTTCCAGGGAGCTGGGAGCACAAGAGGCAATTTTATTTTATTTTTTTGAGGCAGAGTCTCACCCTATCGTCCAGGCTGGCGTCGAGTGCAGTGGTGCGATCTTGGCTCACTTCATCCTCTACCTCCGGGTTCAAGTGATTCTCCTGCCTCAGCCTCCTGATTAGCTGAAATTTATTTAACTCAGCTAATTATTATACTTGTAGTTGAGACGGGGTTTCACCATGTTGGCCAGGCTGATCTCAAACTTCTGACCTCAGGTGAACCGCCCGCCTCTGCCTCCCAAAGTGCTCAGATTACAAGGATGGTTTTCGTTTCCTGCCCCAGCCGGGCCAGCTCCCAGTCCAGTGGGCTCGGCTGAGTGGGGTCTCCTCCCACAGCTGCCCTGTGCTTTGGGGTCTGCCTTCCTGACCTTGGGTTTCAGATGATTTGGATCTGTGACATCGGAGTCCTGCAGCCCTGGGTTCTCTGTGGCAGCTGCGAGCGGGGCGGCTTTAGCGATGAACACCACAAGTGGAGCACCGTGGCCTCCCTGGGGTGGCCCAGAGGGCAGCCCGTCTAGTGAGGGAAGAGGGGCAGGTGCATGGGGAGGTTGTCACACCCCAATCCTGAGATGGACCTAACCAAGCTGCCCCAAAGCAGACACTGCCTGCAGACAGGCGGCCGCCACAGCTGACTTTATCTCCCAGCTCTGGGGGTTCAAGGCCCACGGTCCTGGTACGACCGGTTTGGTTTCTGGTGGGGGCCCATCTGCGCCGTCACGTGCAAGAGAGAGTTCTGGTGTCTCTTCTGATAAGGGCACTGATCCCACCCTTGCGACCTCATCTAACCCTAATGACTCCCTTAGAGGCCACGTCGGTGACCCTGGGGGCCAGGACTCCCACAGATGGACTCGGGGACACAAACATTCGCTCCTTGAGACATGCAGACAAACAGGAGAAAATGAATTCCCATAGAAATCAGGATGGAAGCCATGCAGAGGACCCTCAGGGCAAAGGAAGGTGGGGGCTGTGGCCTCTCTATGCCCAGAGAGCAGCCAGGGGGCATCAGTGGAGGGGAGGTCACCATGGAGGATGGGAGCCTGCTGGGTGGTAACTGGGGGTTTGTCACCATGTCACATCTTAGGCAACCACCTATAATAATCACAAGCTTCAGCATGTTTAACAAGCTTTTATTTCAATACAAGGCAATCAACTCAAAAGGACAGAGTTAGAAATGGGACATATAGACAGTTGTATTAGTTTTATGTGCAGAGCAGGATCTGCTTGCTTCCTTCTGGTGCTGACCGGCACTGTTTAAAAGAATCTACGGAATCCTAACAGCAACGGACGCTGACGCTGCTGGGCACACAAGACCCTCTCGGCCAGCGTCACCTCAAGGCACTTCCCCGCCTGCCGACAGTGGTTTGGAGACTGGGGGCTGTGGCACTGTGGGTGGCTCCAGGGCCTGGGATCCCGTGAGGGCTCCTGAGCAGATGCACCACCCTCAGTGTGGGGAGGACGAGGGAGTGGATGCCCACCCAAGGGGGTGACGGAAAGGGCTTCCTAAGTCCACTAGAGCTCTGAGGCCCCCCGGCATCTCCCTCCCCCAGGGCGGCATGTGCCCCCATGTGCCACCCGCCCCGCCCTGCTCTGTGGTCTCTGCTTGGCCTGCTCTGGGTGCCTCCAGCTCCGCCATACCCTGCACAAGTCTCTGCCTCAGTCTGCTGCACCCAACAACTCTGAGGTTTTCAGGAGGCGAAGGGGTGGAAGAAGTGACTCTCGAGCTCCTGGAGCTGTGTGGGGAAGGGTCCTTGGGGGCCCTGGAGTGGAGAGACACACCCGAGGTTTTCCAGCCACCCAGTGGGGAGGCGCGGTGGCTGGATTTGGAGATGCCTGCAGAGGTGGCCGCAGGAGGCTGGGTTCTCCCTTGTATTTCTAGACTAGAGGCAGTGGCAGAGGTTGGTGTGGGATGGGAGGGGAGAGCAGCCAGGACGTAGAAACGTTCCAAACCTGTGAGAAGCTCCCGTTTCCAGACCCTTAAGTATCCTTAGTCTGTAAGAAACAACACTCCAGCCAGAAGACCCTCTCAGGTTTATTCTCAGAAATCAACCTGTTCTTGACTGTGGAGCTGCTTGCGTCTTTCTTTCCTCTTTCCGTGACTCTTACAGAGAGCAGCCGAGACAACTCCACAGGCTCCAGCCGGTGTCGCTGTGGGGTGGTGTTGCAGAATATTCAGGAGACTGGAGAGACCAATGGGTGAAACAGGAGGGTTTTATGAAAGTGGCCACTGGCTCATCAGATTAGCATCCTATGGCTGAGCGAAGGAGAGAGAAAATGGGTACTTTCTATACCTCCAGGATGACGCAGCAGCTAACAGGTTTGCAGAAGCCAGAACAGCGAGCAGCTAATTCATTTGTAACATATCTTGTGATGTACGTTATATTTGAAAAATAGCATTTTGAGAAATGCATTGTCCATCCTTTGGGTGTTCTTTTGCCCTGTGACCTCGCAGATGGTCAGCAAGAGAAACAGGAGTCTTGAAATGCCTGGGAGCTTTGCTGAGAATGTGGGGAGAATAGGTGAGGTAGGTTTTTCAGGGAGTTAGTTAATTTTAAACAGTCAGGGGCTAGGTTTTATATTAAGCAACACACGACAGCAAAATTTACTTTATCATATAGCAACTACAAATGATAGGGCTTTATTTTTACTATTATTGCTATTATTTAATGCCCTTCTTCAGTGGGAGGAAGAGAGGATCTGGGATGACGCCACGTGCTTTCCGTGGCTGCCTGGGTGGGTGCGGCGGCCACCTGGGAGGGCTGTCTGAGCACGTGGCAGGAGGCAGCATCAGCCTCATGAGATCTGGGGTGTGCACGGGATGTCCAGAAGCCATCGGAGATGTGTGTCTGGGCGGGGTGCTGATGGGGAGGGTGGGCTTCTGTGGCGATTAGGGCAGGGGAATGAGGCCGTGTAGGGGTGTGAGGCCTAAGGGTTGCAGCAGATACCTGGGTCCACATCGGGACAGCATTGCTGGCTAATGCCAATCCCACCTGGCTTGGGGACAGGCTTGAATGTGAGGTCTGTCCTGGGGAAAGAGTAACTTCTTTTTTTAGTTATACTTTTACATTCTGGGGTACATGTGCAGAACGTGCAGGTGTGTTACATAGCTATACACGTGCCGTGGTGGTTGGCTGCACCCATCACCCTGTCATCTACATTAGGTATTTCTCCTAATGCTATGTCTCCCCTACCTCCCACCCCCTGCTGTCCCTCCCCAGCCCCCAACCCCCAACAGGCCCCAGTGTGTGATGTTCCCCTCCCTGTGTCCATGTGTTCTCATTGTTCAGCACCTACTTATGAGTGAGAACATGAGGTATATCGTTTTCTGTTCTTGTGTTAGTTTGCTGAGAATAATGGTTTCCAGCCTCATCCATGTCCCTGCAAAAGACATGAACTCATCCTTTTTTATGGCTGCATAGTATTCCATAGTATATATGTCCCACATTTTCTTTATTCAGTCTACCATTGATGGGCATTTGGGTTGGTTCCAGGTCTTTGCTATTGTGAACAGTGTCACAATAAACACACGTGTGCATGTGTCTATAGTAGAATGATTTCTAATCCTTTGTGTATGTACCCGTCATGGGATTGCTGGGTCTCAGTAGTCACTGACAAGTCCAGTGGCTTCCCGAGCCATGCTCTTGGTGTTACTCCTGGTTTCTGTCTCATTCACAGTAGGATTTGGAGTAGTTTACAAAGGTTAACAAAGTCTGGGGAGCCAGGGAAGCGGGAATTAAGAAAAAACCCACAGGACAGAGTGGAGTGTGTGGTGACGTCAGCGGCCACATGGACGCCTCCGATTGTGCTGGGAGTACTGCTGTGGGCTGAAGGTGAGTCCATCTCCTGAAACCGCTGGTCCCAATCCTCATGGCACCTGTTTTTAACTCGGATTTCCAGCTCCGTTCACAGAGACCTGGACGCAGTGGGCCTGGGCTGGGCCCTGGAACCTGGGTTTCCAGCAAGTGATGTGAGTTTCAGGAATGAAGCCAGCCACATCCTGAGCTGCAGGTGGGGCAGGTGTCTCTGACCCCAGGGTCCTGCCAGTCTGGGATGCCTGGCTCCTGCTGCAGGCCTGGGTATTGGAGAGTGGGCAGGCAGAGGCGGGGGCCTCAAAGCCAGGGAGGCAGGGGCTCCTGACAAGGGCCTGGCTCTCCCACGCCAGCCTCGGGCGCCTGAGCTTCCTCACCCACTCGGGGGCTTCGCCTGCATCCTGGAAATTTTCCTGGAAGGTGACTGGGTCTGGGGAGCTGCTGATGTGGAGGAGGCAGACCCAGGAGACTGGGTGGCCCAGGCTCTGTGGGTTGTGCCCTCTCTGTGGGGCCTGGCTGGTGTTTGGCCCCAGGCAGGCGGTGTGGAGGCAGGGTGGCTGCTTGGGTCTCCTTGGGAAAACGTGATGGTCAGCCACTGCCTGGGGCAGGGATTGTGGCTGGTCACAGCCACTTTCTCACTCCTCTAGCATCTCTGAGCCCAGCCCTGCCAGGCGCCAGCACCTGACGTTCCAGAGGACCAAGGCTTCCACCCTGGGTGTGGCCCTGCTCACGGTGCCTGCCCTAACAGGGAACCAAGTGCTGGCCCCTGAGCCCTGGAGCCACCTCTGAGTGGAGCCTGGTGTTGCCTCGGGGTCTGGGCAGGGGGTGCCCAGAAGCTTTGGGGTAGGATGAGGCCTCTTGGACAATCAGAACGGGGCTGGTTCTGGGAACCAGATCTGGGGACATATCCCCTGGAGAGGGCGGAGGCCTCCCCAGCCCCTTACAGCTGGCAGGGCTCCAGCATCCCCAAGCCAGGGGGAGCCTGGAGTCTGCCCTGCTGTCTCCCTGGCTGAATTCTCTGTTGACACAAAGATGACACCTCCTTGGGAGTTGCTAAGGACTTTGAACAGAGGAGAGCCCCGCAACCTCCCAGCACCAGGCACTGTGCAGCTGAGCCCAACACCCAGAAGCTGCTGTCATCTGGGTCCCTGGGACACTGCTGTGGGCTGGTTCACCCACTCCAGCCCTTGCCACTCAGAGCTGCAAGGTGGCTTCACCACTTTCTTATGGGCAGTCTCCGCCTTCCAGATTCTGAGAGACCGCTGGTGCCTCCCTTCACCCTCCCCAGCTGCTGTCGCCCAGAGCCTCATCTCTGGGACTTCACTACCCTGCCACTCCTCCCACTGACACACACGTGTACACAGATGCACATGCATGCACGCACACATGCATACAGACACATACATGCACACACGGATACGAACACAATGTACACACATGGACACACATGAACATACACACAGACGAATACACAGACATGCACACACACCTGCCCTGCACACACAGATATGTGCACATGGACACACATGAACACACATGCACACAGACACATGAACACATGCACACATGCACTCATGCACACAGGCACAGATGTATGCATGCACACACGCATACATGCACACACAAACACGAACACATACAGACACCTACATGCACACGGAAACACATGAACAGACATGCACACATGAAAAGACATGCATACATATACATACACACACACGAACACACATACATGCACACATGAACACGCACACACATGAACACAGATGCAGACAATGCCCACACATGAACATGCACCCATATGAACACACATGCACACATGAACACGCACACACATGAACACAGATGCAGACAATGCCCACACATGAACATGCACCCATATGAACACACATACATGCACACATGAACACGCACACACATGAACACAGATGCAGACAGTGCCCACACATGAACATGCACCCATATGAACACACATGAACACAGACACATGCACAATGCATACACACATGAACATATAAATGCACCCATATGAACACATACATGCACACACATGAACACATGCACATACATGCATACACGAACACATGCACGTACATGCACGCAGATGCCTACACACATGCATACAGACACATGAACACACATGCACACATGCATACATGCACACATGCACATAAGTCACGAACACATGCACACAGATTTATACATGCACACACATGCACTCACATGCACAGAGGCACATAGAAGCATTTATGTGTATACATGCACACCCATGCATGCAAACATACATACATGCCACCACATGCACACATATACATGCACACACATGTGCATAGATGCACAGACTCGTGGACACAGATGCACACATGTGCACACAGACATGCACACACACACACTACAGCATGTGCACCCTGCCCACCCTAAGCCTGGTCTGCTGTCCCTGCTGTGCCCACTTTTCCTTGGTCCCTGAAACCGCTCTCCCCAGGACCCCTCCCTGCCTGGACACAGAGCAGGGTCCTGTGAAGTCAGGCTCTGAAGGAGTGGGGTCTCTCAGCCCCTCTGGAAGCCTGTCTCCAGGACCTGCCCTCCCCAGCGGAGCATTTGGGGCCAGCAGCCCTCAGCCCTGCAGTGTCCAGACCTGGTCCTGGGGAGCTGGGGAGGCGGGTCAGGACCCGCATGTTTGATTGGGACCCATTTGACAGGAGACTCTGGGCATCATCCCTAAATTAAATCTTGATTTCAGAATTTTGGAGTTTACCAAAATGGACTTATTTCTCAGTATTTCCAAAGGTTCGATTGTGCTTTAAAATAAACAATACACATCTGAACTTATTAAAATAAGTTTACATGAACATTCCAAAGCCTCCCACCCCAGGTGTGAGGGTGGAGACATTACTGGCTGGGACTCCATGGCCCCGGGGCCTCTGTGACGCCCAGGCTCCTCTGCCGGATGGCGTGACACTCTGCAGCGGTGAACATGCCTGGACCCTCACCGGGGCGGGGTTCTGCTCAAGGGCACTGTGTGGGCCGGGGGCCGGGTCTCGCTGGCCTGGGGCCCGTTCATGGCAATGGCTGCCACCATCTGAAAACCGGATACTATCTCTAGTCAACTGCTCTGTTTCTTTCTGTGTTCTGTTTATTTTCTGAGAACTAGAAGAGACTAGTCATCTGCTCCGGCCTAGTCTTGGTGAAGTCTGAAATCCCACTATCAGCACTCACTTCCTTTGATCAAAGACGGTTCTGTTTAGATTCTTCCTGAAAATCACCATCGGCCCTGGGATGGCTGCTCCAGGATCCTGAGGTGGGGGATGTGAGAGGTCCCTGCCTCTTGTTTGGGGCAGTGGGTCGGGCTGTGCAGAGGCCACAGGCTGAGGTCATGGTTCACAGTTCTGACCCATCCCCTGTCACCTAAGACAGCCAGCTGCCTTCCAGCCATCCTTTTCTGGGGTGGTATCAGGAGCCCGACCTCAGCTCTTGTATCAGTTCCTGTTACCCTGGGGCTTTCTGCCTCCAGAGCTGGGGGTCAACGCCTGGTCCCCAGGGAGAGGCCTGGCTGGACCACGAGCTGGGCCTCGAATCTGCAGGAACTGGCTGGTCTTATTACGCCCAGATTTATTTTTTGGATTCCTGTGAGAAGGACAAGAAAATAAGTGTGTGTGAGGCAGGTGGGCGGTGGGAGAAGTCGCCTGTGCAGTGGGTGAGAACACAGGAGCTTCCTCCTCGGGGAGGGGGCCAGGTGTTTCCAGGTGAGGCAGGTGGGCGGTGGGAGAAGTCGCCTGTGCAGTGTGTGAGAACACGGGAGATTCCTCCTCGGGGAGGGGGCCAGGTGCTTCCAGGTGAGGCAGGTGGGCGGTGGGAGAAGTCGCCTGTGCAGTGGGTGAGAACACGAGAGATTCCTCCTTGGGGAGGGGGCCAGGTGCTTCCAGGTGAGGCAGGTGGGCGGTGGGAGAAGTCGCCTGTGCAGTGGGTGAGAACACGGGAGTTCCCTCCTTGGGGAGGGGCCCAGGTGTTTCCAGGTGAGGCAGGTGGGGGGAGGGAGAAGTTGGCTGTGCAGTGGGTGAGAATAAGGGAGTTCCTTCCTTGGGGAGGGGCCCAGGCACTTCCAGGAGGAAACAGCGCATTGGGCTGTCTCCAAGTCATCCCTGGGGCAACACAGGTCAGAAGGTGGGTGCAGCTGCTCCAGGCTGGTGGCTGCCTCGGGTCGACTGCTCCTGCTGCCTGGAGCTCTGTTCCCCTCCCTACGCCGGGGCTGCACTGAGGCCCCCAGCCCCCTGAGCTGAATCAGTGGCCGGCGAGCTCTTCTGGCTGCTGTCTTCGCTCTCAGTTTCTTTTTTCTGTTTCTTTTTGTTTGTTTTCAGACAAGGTCTTGCTCTGTTGCCCATACTGAGGTGCAGTGTGGAGACCCTGGCTCACTGCAGCCTTGCTGAGCTAGGGTGATCCTCCACCTCAGCCTCCTGAGTGGCTGGGACTGCAAGCACCTGCTGCCAGGCTGGCCTTGAACTCCTGGCCTGAAGCAATCTTCCCATCTCCTCTCCCAAAGTGCTGGGGCTACAGGTGTGAGTCGCCACGTCTGGCCTTGATTGATGTCTTAATTGGGCAACCTGGGTCAACAGAAAGAGTATTATCTACTGGGGGCTTCCTCAGAGACCCCAACAGCCATGGGGGGGGAGGAAGAGAAGGAGAGGGAAGGAGAGAGAGGGAGGGGCCAGTGAGGGGAAGAGCGGGAGGGGAGCAGGTAGAATATCTGAAGGGTCTGCTCTGCTAAGACAACAGTGAGTTGAAGTTTTTCTCCCACACACACGTGGCTGGAGCTACTGCCCCTTCCTGCCTTGGGCGGAGGTGGGCCTGGTCCTGCAGGTGTGGGAGGCACTGGTGAGGGGGCACCTGGTGAGGGTTCGGTGGAGCTAGCGTTGGGGGCTCCTGCAGGCTCAGTCTCATGTCTGTGTCCGTGTCCGTGATGCCGTGTGGCAGTCTCGGGCCCAGGAGGCGCAGCACAGCAGCCGCATCTCTGTGGAGCTGGCAGGTCAGGGCTGTCGGCCAGACGACCCTCGGGCAGACATGGCTCGATGGTGGGGACATCGTTAGCGCGTTGACACCATACTGAGGCCGGGCTTGGCTCTTGCCCCAAACAGAACAGCTTGCTCCGACCTTCCCAGTGACCCTGAGCTCCTGGTCTCTTACTCCCCCACTCCACAGGGCAGAGGCTGGTGTGGGGCGGCGCATCAATGAGTGTGGGGAGAGCCTCGAGGTGTGGGCCGGGCCACAGGCCACGGCGTGGGTCTGCATGGTGGCGCTCCTCTCCTGGCTGAGTGTGGCGAGGGCTGGCGGGAGCCAGGGGCGGAGGGCGGTGCCTCCCTCCCCAAGAGCCATTCCCAGCCCTCAGAGACGGTGACTCATCTCCAAGGGTGATTTAGCAGCAGTGGAAAGAAGAGCTCCTGGACCTTGCGGCTGCGTTTGTTAAAAGGGAAGCGGGGGTGGCAAAGGCAGCCAATGCCCCGGAGAAGCTGTTTCCCTCGGTTTGAGGAATTAACAAGTTATTACTCTGTCGCACTTGTAATTACGTCAGGAAATGAAACAGAGGTGAGAGTGTTGGAGACAGAGGGTTTTGAATGCGGAGTTAGGCATTTTAGGCATTTCAAATGCTGCAGTTCCCGGCCAGTGGAGCCACCGAGCCGACCTCTTCGGATGTGATTCCTGCTCAGAAGTGACAGGAGGACCCGGGACCTGCAGAACGTCCCTGAGACGGGAGGGGGTTGATGTGATGGGCAGAGCAGTCCCTGGGCACCCGAATGTCCTCACCCCCTTCTTTATTCCCTGGCCCTTTGTAAATAAAAGTGAACGTCAAATCCTTTACCACCTGAGGCCTCAGCCCTTCACAGGGTCCCCTTTCATGCCTCAACCTTCAGACGCTGGGGCCAGCTTGGTGCCCCTTAGCACCCGGGGGTCAGGACTGGGGCTCAGAAAGACACGCTCAGGCCTGGCCCAGAGGGTGCCCTGCACCCACCTGTGGGGCTTTTGGATCTGGGTCCCAGGGAGTAGCCACGGAGGGGCTGAGCGTGGTCTCGCTGGTCCACCTTGAATGTGGCCGACCGTGGATGTAGTCGGGAGCCCAGGACTTTGATCTGGCTTTAGGCTAAGGGTGTTGAACATCATGTGGCAAGTAGATCCAGGCCCGTGGAATCACGGACCACGCCTTGTGGCACGCAAGAGCATGGTCACGTCTGCATATTGAGTGTGTGCATGTGCACACCTGCATTCATGTGTGTACACAGGTACAACTGCATGAACTGAGGTGCATGTGTGGGTGTATGTACCGTGTGTACATACCTGCACCACCACATCTACAGGCGCACGTGTAGCTCTATCCAGGATTGGAAGGTGTCAATTACAACCCTGTATCGCCCTGGAAGAGTCTCAAAAAGACTCCCAAGGACTTAGGGTCTTCCAAGGAAAGAAATAGCTCAGCCCCATCAAGGTCTGGCCGAGAGAGGATCTGTCGTTTCATCCCCCCTCCCTCCCTCTTGCCACTCCAGGGTGTTCAGGTCTCCTGAACATCACACTCTTCTCTTCTTTTGACAGAGACTTTGGAGAGAAAGTTTGCAGAACAAGTAAAAGACCAGAGATAAGAAAGCTGTCAGCAGGTTGCTAGAGCTGCACTACTCCAGAAACGCAGCCCCGAGGGCACACTCAGAAACCTGCTGCCTCCTCCAGCTCCTGCCCTGGTTGGGAAGGTCCAGGTTCAGCCTGATGGACACACACGGGAGGACAGAGGCCTCGAGGCCGCTGTCTGCCCACAGAAGTGCAGGGCCTGGCCTCCTCCATGAGGACGAGGGCTGCAGGCTGCAGGTGTGGGAGGCTCTCGGGTGGGCAGTAGGGATGGTAGGGGGCGGGGAGCGGAGGGATGTGGGGTTCCAGAGCAGGAAGCTGTGCCACAGCAGGATGCCTGGGGTCCCTTTACCACCATCTCCCCCTGCCCAGCATTCTGCAAACATTGGATGCTTAAAAAGAATGGAGATGACTGTGCCCTTCCTGGTGGAGCTTCGATGCTGCCCTGAGAATTCCGGCTGCTTCTCGGGCTGCAAAGAGTGAAGGTGAGGGCGTGGATGGAGGCCTGGAGCGCTCCCGGCACCTGTGCTCCATGAGGCACTGCTCCTCATGGCTGCCATCACTGCAGCACCATCCCTCTTTCCAGAGGGGAAACTGAGCCTCCAAGAGGGGAAGGAAGGTTCCCACGGCCATGTGGCTGGATGGGGCATTTCAACCGACTTCTGTCCCCCTGAGTGTGTGCTGGCATGTGCGTGAGCTAGGGGCTCACTTGGAGCTGAGGAGGCTGTTGGGGCTCCCGGGCAGATGCCTGGGCTGGGTTTGTACCCCAAGTCTGTGCCTAGAGCCTGAGGGATGTGCCTCAGGCCAGGGTCTGGTGAGGACCCCGCAGGGGAGTGAGGGGTCTTGGGGATTTGTGTGGGCGCCGAGCCTGGGCCTGGGGACAGTAGTCATGCCTGGGCTCTGCCTGTCTCTGGCTCCTGCTCTGGATAACAGGCCAGCAGGGTTGGAGAGCGAGCCTGGAGTGTGTAGAGCCTCCTCCTGGAGTGCTCGGGAGCTGGGGTGAGAAGGCTGGAAGCCACCGTGGGACAGAGAATGGGGAGGGGCCCTGCAATCCCTCCCAGCTCTGCCCTGGCCTCCACCCTGGCATCTCCAGGACTGCTGACCCCGTGCTCCTCCGTTTCCACCCGGGTGCTCCTCCCTCTTTGCCCGGAAAGCTCCTCTCTTGGCCCCTGGTGTCTCCAGGATGGCCGGTCGGGCGCTCTTCTCTCTGCCCCGCAGTGTGTAGGCCACTCTTTCCTCTGTTCTGCCCCATGGGACGCTCTTGCTCCGGGGCCCGCTTCTGAGGGTGAGTGGGTGGTCCCCAGACCTGGCCTGGGGAACCCTGACTCCTGCTGTCTGGCTCTGACAGTCACGGGGGTGCGGGGCAGGGGAAAAGTGAGGGCTTGTGATGTGGGGGTGGCGAAATCCAGACCTTGGGTGTCCGGATGCCACAAGGTTGCAAGGAAGGCTTTGGTGGAAGCCCCAGGCAGCTCTGGGGCTGGAGGGCTCCACAGGGTGGTCCCAAAAGGGGCTGGTGGTAGGCCTGGTGCCCTTAGACCAGTTGTGGGGTGGGCCCCATCCCTGGGAAGGGCATCGGCGTGGGCCTGGGGCATCTGGCTGAGGGCAGTTCATGGGGGGCTGTGAGCTACCAGCAGCCCTACTGCCAGCCGCTGGGAGCCAGTGCTTGGGCCTGGACAGGGGCCTGTGGGGCTCCGGCCTCTGAGGCGTGGCCCAAGGTGGAAGAGCCTCAGTTTCCCAATTTCCCTCCATTCACTGCCACCTTTTCACAGGAATGTCTAATCCTGAAAAAGAAGGATGACTGCAAGTAATGGGATTACTTTTTTCCCTTTTTTAAGAAAATCGGGACCACAAGAGTTATGTATCAGTGGCTTCCTTCAGAGTAGATACCCCAGAGAACAGAGAGAGAGGCTCAGGGCTGTGGGAGAAGACAGACAGAGAGAGAGGCAGAGAAGAGGAGGCAGCCGGGACAGAGTGGGAGACAGACACCTTCTGCTTAACACAACCTCAAAAGAGAAGCAAAAGGAATCAGAAAAAATATTTGCAAACTCTTCAGCCAACAAGGAACCTCCAAGGAACTTACCCAGCTCCACAGTGACAAAAGAGCCCGATTGAAAGATGGGCAAATTTCAGCAGGTCATGGACTAAAAAAATACATAAGAAAAATGGGCAAATGATCGGAGCAGATGTTTCTTGAAAGACCTACTCTTGGCCAGGAAGTGTGTGAGGACACACCCAGCACCACTAATTATAGGGAAATGCAAATTTGAACCCCTGGTGAGATACCACCTCACGCCTGCTAGAATGGTTTTTATCAGAAAGACAAGATCACAAAGGCGGGAGGTGGAGGAAACAGGGCCATTTGCTGTGTGCCGTTGGAGGGAATGTGAGTGAGAACCCCTCCTACGCTACAGAGAGTGGCTGGAGTTTCCTGAAAACACTACAAATAGGGGCACCGCAGGGTCCAGCAGTCCCAGTGCTGGCCGTACACCCCAAAGAAAGGAGACCCGGCCATCAAAGATGCAGTGGTGTGCCCCTGTTCACTGCAGCACTATTCACAATGGCCAGGATCTGGAATCCACCCGAGTGCCGGTCAACAGACGGACGGGTAAGGAAGACGCGGTGCCACGCACAGTGGATACTATTCAGCCGGAGGAAAAAGGAATCCTGTCATCTCAGCCACAAGGATGAGCCTGCAGGAATTTGGTACGGGAAATCAGCCAGGCTCAGAAAGACAGACACCCCATCAGCTCACTCCTATGCAGGAGCTAAAAAAGCTGAACTCCAGGCCATGGTGATGGGCTGGTGGCTGCAGAGGCTGGTGGGGGGCACAGAGTTAGAGCCACAGGAGAATACACTCTAGTGTTCGCGGTGCTCCAGGCAACTGTGGTTGACAACAATTTATGCTTTCAGACAGCGAGAAGAGGGGCTTCAGAATGTTCCCACCACAAAGAATGGACAAAGGTTTGAGGTGGCAGGCCCAGGGACCGCCCTGATCTATGAGGGTCCCACATCACACATGAGCAGAACAAGAACTGCCCTGGTCTGACGATCCCACATCATACATAGGCATTGAAACATCACGCTGTGTTCCAGAAATGGGTGCAATTACTGTGTGTCAATTAAAAAAAGTGAGCAGACAGGCAGGGCGAGCTGGGCGGTGGAGGTGGAATCAGACTCAGCTGATGCGGCGGGCATTTCTTCCCTGCCTCCTGTGATGCGGAGACCCGACCTCATTCCCATGCCGTTCCCAGGCTTCCTTCAGAGCCCCGCGTGCTGTGGGGAGCTGCGTGGTGGGGTTGACGATGGCCACATCCCGGCACCTCTGGCTGCTGCCGCCTTCCAAGACAGCTCACTTCTGCGCCATCCAGCCCACCAGCCAGCATTGCCTCCGCAGACCACTTGGTGCTAGTGGGGTGTGCACAGCAGCAGTCTTTCTGTACCCACAGAGGCGGCAGCAGAGGAGCCACAGAGAGCATGGGGCTTCTCCACCTTGCCTGGCCCCTCACAGGTGGAAGGGGCTTCTCCACCTCACACGGTCCCTCACAGGTGGAAGGGGGGCTTCTCCACCTCACACGCACGGCCCCTCACGGGTGGAATGGGGGCTTCTCCACCTCACACAGACCCTCACAGGTGGAAGGGGGGCTTCTCTACCTCGCCTGGCCCTCACAGGTGGGACACGTCCCCTCTGGACTGAGGGGCGTACATCTTGTCCTGCAGGACAGAGGCCCCTGGCTCCCCTAAATACCGTCCCGTGGAGGTGACCACAGAGAAACCACCTGATGGCCAGAAAACCCACCGTGATATTTACCAACTGCACTCAACTATAAAAAGCAAATTCCCTAAGCCATCTCGTTTTCCTAATAAATGCAGCGACGTAATGGCCGAGACTAGCTTCTGAACAAATGTGGGAACAGAATGAACCCGCCATTGTCTAGGAACAAAGGTGTGATCAGATTCTCTTTTCTATTCAATTAATGTCTATTCCGCTCATTATGAGGGTTCGCTATTAGTGCTCTCCTTGGTTACTAAAGCACAGACACAGGCTCCGCCTGACCTGCTGGTGCTTCCCCAGGGAACACCCTGGGCTGGCTTCCTGCGTGTGCTGAGCGGACAGAGCGGGAGGAGCAAGCAGAGACGAGACGGTGGAGGCGGAGTGGAGCGAGATGGCGGGCGTGCAGGGCGGCTTTTACAAACTATTAAGTTAAATTCCTGGAAAAAAAATCAAGCTTCCCGGGCTGCCCTATCAGTTTATACAGCCCAGTAACACATAACAACAGCATCAGTCCGGTCCGGTTTCACAGGAAAAACCCCACTCCCACACAATGGCGGCACGGTGGTCTCTGCGGAGTTCTGAGGACGAATGCTCTGGTCTGCCACATTCACTTTAGATGCTTTGCAGGCAGGTGCTCTTCCTAGCCACCCAGCAGGAGGGCACTCGGGGCCACCACACCCAGCTGCCCCGGACGCAATGTGTGTAGGACCCCTGCCACAGAGACAGACTCCGGGGAGTCCACTCACCCACCTTCAGGGCCCCCGATGCAATGTGTGCAGGACCCTGGCCATGAAGACAGACTCTGGAGAGCCCACTCACCCACCCTCGGGGCCCCCCAATGCAATGTGTGCAGGACCCTGGCCATGAAGACAGACTCTGGGGAGCCCACTCACCCACCTTTGGGGCCCCTGATGCAATGTGTGCAGGACCCTGGCCATAAAGACAGACTCTGGGGAGCCTACTCAGCCACCTTCGGGGCCCCCGATGCAATGTGTGCAGGACCCTGACCATGAAGACACACAGACTCTGGGGAGCCCACTCACCCACCCTCAGGGCCCCCAATGCAATGTGTACAGGACCCTGGCCATGAAGACAGACTCCGGGGAGCCCACTCACCTACCCTCGGGGCTTTGGCGGCTCCCAGGTGGGGTCATGACCTGGGCTTTCAGAGGAGGATGGAAAATTCCGTGCTGGCACCGATTCCCCCCAGAGCAGGTGTTCGGTGCCGGGAAGTGATTCCCTCCCGAGGTCGTCTGCAGCTGATGGTGTAGACAGTGGGGCCGGAAGAGTGATGGCTGAGGTGGGCGTGGCTCCAAAGAGGATGGATTCAGAGTCAGGCCCGGAACCTCACACACGGGGGCTCAGAACACCCAGGAGAGGGGGGCATCTTTAATGCGACTTCATCTACCCACGAGGCGTGTGGGCATGCCTGTGTGCACGCGTGCGAATCTCCAAGGAATTTTGATCAACCCCATTCCAAGATCCCGAGGAAAACAGATTTATGGTTTTGTTATTAAGATAAATTAGTGCCTTTCCTTCTATGTTTTTGTTTTGAGACAGGGTCTTGCTGCCCAGCCTGGAGGGCGGTGGCACATCTCAGGTCACTGCAGCCTCAAACTCCCTCCCAGGCTCAGCAGTCCTCCCGTCTCAGCACCACCTGCCACCTGGTAGCTGGGACTACAGGTGTGCACCACCATGCCTGGCTAACTTTTGTATTTTTCTTTTTTGTAGAGAAGGGGTTTCACCATGTTCCCCAGGCTGATTTTGAACTCCTGGGCTCAAGCAATTCTCCCACCTCAGCCTCCCAAAGTGTGAGCCTGTGTCTGGCCTGGCGCATTTCTCAGGTATAGAATTACAGTACACAGATTTCTTTTTCTTTTCATAAGATCACATCTCACCACATTAAAAAAAAATCAGTCTTAAGCAACACTTGTAAAAATCATCAATGACTTGTGTGATGGGTGGCCCACTGCGTGGAAGCTGTGAATGGTCGGGAGCCCCTGCACAAGCCCCAGGCCCCAGTGGCACTTGGGAGGGAGGAGACCCTCAGTACCCTGCCAGTGCCCTGCTGTGAAGTCTGTGCACAGCCTGCCTGCCTGCCTGTGAAGCGTCCACACACCTGCCTGGCCGAGGCCTGCACACCGTAGAGTGGGGTGCACGGTCCCCCTCACCCCTTCTTGATTAGCTCATCGCTCTCCTCAGCCTCCCGGATGCCTGCGTTTTCAAATCCTGAAGCCCCCGGAGGCCCCTCTGCGTCTGCATCCCCCAGTCACGGCCATGCTAGCACACCAAGTGTCGAGCCGTGTGGGTGGAGAGAGCCCACCTCGCGGCTGGGATCTGGAGGCTGTCTCAGCGCCCTCTCTACCCGGGGCGGGGAGCCGTGTGGGTGGAGAGAGCCCACCTCGCGGCTGGGATCTGGAGGCTGTCTCAGCGCCCTCTCTACCCGGGGCGGGGAGCCGTGTGGGTGGAGAGAGTCCACCTCGAGGCTGGGATCTGGAGGCTGTCTCAGCGCCCTCTCCACCCGGGGCGGGGAGCCGTGTGGGTGGAGAGAGCCCACCTTGTGGCTGGGATCTGGAGGCTGTCTCCACGCCCTCTCCACCTGGGGCGGGGTGCATGTCCCAGGCCACATGCACTGGACAGGAAGGAAGCCTCGTCTGGGTAATGAAAATTTCCGACAAGTCTCCCTGCCCACTCGGAACCGGAGCAGGAGCTGGGGACTGATGCTGAAGTGAGAGCCGTCCCCAGCTGGGACCCACTGTGGAGGGGGCACAGTAGGCCCACGGAGCCCGCTGGTGCAGTGAGAGGGACTCTTGCAGGTCCTCGGCAGCGGGCACCGTCCTCTGCCGCCCACTCCTCCCCTCGGCATTTCCCCAGCCTCCCTTGCGTATTTCCGTTGTGTGAGTGGGTTTCTCAGCCCTGCCCTCCATTCCGCCGTTTCCAGCTCTAGCCAGTCTCCTATTTAATAATGCTGGCATCCTGTGAACACGTGTCCCTTAATTTTAAAATGATTGTTCCTTTTCGGTTTCATTTCTAGAAGTTTCGTTTGGTTCTTTTTCAAGTCTAGTTGTTCTCTTTTTCAATGTGGTTATTCTTCTTGTTTATATACCATTTAAAATGTTAAAGCCGATTTCACCGCCCTTTTCACAGGGCGCTGATTAAGCTTAAGTGTGTGGCGTCTGTTGCCCTTCCACTGTGAACCGCGTGAGGAAATAGAGACCGTCTTCCCTCAGGATTTGGCAACTGCTATCCCATTTGGCAGTTACTCAGGCTGTTCATGAGCAGCACAGAATAGTTCTGACGTGTTCTGTCCAAAGTTGCTCAGCTGTTAACGCGTGTTGTGGAGTCAGTTCTGACGTGTTCTGTCCAAAGTTGCTCAGCTGTTAACGCGTGTTGTGGAGTCAGTTCTGACGTGTTCTGTCCAAAGTTGCTCAGCTGTTAGCACGTGTTGTGGAGTCAGTTCTGACGTGTTCTGTCCAAAGTTGCTCAGCTGTTAGCACGTGTTGTGGAGTCAGTTCTGACGTGTTCTGTTTTCTCTTCTTGCCTGTTGAGGTGAGTGAGTCGGAATGAGACTCGTTCCCCAATTGTAACCATAGGCTGGCCACAGATACAAGGGTTCCATGAAAACCGAAGCGGCCGTTCGGTGAGAGCCTGCGGGCTACGTGGAACTGACGATAGAGCATGTGCTCTGTTATCTGTAAGCTGTGTGCTGTGTATCTTCTGCGTGTAAGCTGCATGACCTCTCTGGGTCCGCTGTTTAGGGGAGTTGGTTGTTAAACACTCCCTGAAGCCATTTGTGCAAACGCCAAGTGGACGTGTTTAGAACCGACCACCTGCTCTTGTGGGCCTCAGTTCTCACCGCCCTTCCCACACGGACGTCCAGGTCTCTCTTTGGGATAAGCCCTTGAGGAGTTCTCTTTCTTTGTGGCTTGGCTACGTATTTTTTTAAATAACTCTGCCCAGCATTTCCAGAGTGGAATACTTACATGGGATTTCAGCCTGCCCTATTGCCCTCGGCCCTGAATTCTGAATTGCATTCATCATGAGAATCTTCCATATTGTGACACGTGCTCACGTAAGATGTTCCGTGGCTGGGTCTCAGCAACATCTCAGACACATGGAAAGCAGAAGGTTCCCGGAGTGTAGGCAGGTTCCGATGAGGTGCCGACTCGGGGAAGGAGAGCCTGGGACACTGGAGCAACAGGACGCAGCTGGGAGTCAATCCCGCGAGCTTGAGAAGCTGCTCTGTAAGAGAGGAAGACCAGCATGCTGGCGGACGCTGACGGACACGCTTGGCCTGGCCAGACTTCATTTATTTTTATTTTTAACAATGTTTTGGCTTTTATTTTAGGGCCAGAGGTGTATGTGCAGGTTTGTTTTATAGGTAAACTTGTGACTTGGGGGTTTGGTGTACAGATGATTTCGTCACCTGGGTACTAAGCATAGTACCCAACCATTTTTTTCTGGGCCTCTCCTCCCACCCTCCATCCTCAAGTGGGCCCCAGTGTCTGATGTTGCCCTTTCTGTCCATGTGTTCTCATTATTTTGCTCTCACTTATTAGTGAGAACATGTGGCGTTTGTTATGTTTGGTTGTGAATCCCCATATTCGTTTGCTAAAGACAATGGCCTCCGGTTCTATCCTTGTTCCTGCAAAGGACAGGATTTCATTCTTTTTTATGGCTGCATAGTATTCCATGGTATATATGTACACATTTTCTTTATTTGGTCTGCCATCAGTGGGCATTTAGGTTGATTCTGTGTCTTTGCTATTGTGAATACTTCTGTAATAAACGTGAGCATGTGTCTTTTTTTTAAATTTTTTTCCTCACAGACAAGAAAAAGGCAGGGGCCTACACCACAAGGCCCATTCAGTTAATTCCTTTTTGTTGTTGTTTTTTTGTTTGTTTTATGAGATGAAGTCTCACTCTGTCGCCCAGGCTGGAGTGCAGTGGAGCGATCGGCTCACCACAGCCTCCGCCTCTCAGGTCCAAGCCATTCTCCTACCTCAGCCTCCGAAGTAGCTGGGACCACAAGTGTGTGCCACCATGCCCTGCTAATGTTTTGTATTTTTAGTAGAGGCAAGGTTTCACGGTGTTAGCCAGGATGGTCTCGATCTCCTGACCTCGTGATCTGCCCACCTCAGCCTCCCAAAGTGCTGGGATGACAGGCGTGAGCCACCACGCCCGGTCCTGCATGTGTCTTTATGGTTGAACAATTTATGTTCTTTTGGGTATTTACCAGTAGTGCGATTGCTGGGTCAAATGATAGTTCTATTTTTAGGTCTTTGAGGAATCTCCACTCTGCGTTCTACAATGGTTGAACTAACTCACACTCACACCAGCAGTGTGTAAGCATCCCCTTTTCTGCACGGCCTCACCAGCATGTGTCATTTTTTAAACTATTTAACAGTAACTGTTCTGCCTCATGTGAGATGATGTCTCCCTGTGGTTTTGATTTGCATTTCTCTGGTTAGTGATATTGAGCATTTCTTCATATGCCTGTTGGCCACATGTATGAGTGTTTGTTCATGTCCTTCGCCCCTTTTTAATGGAGTTGTTTATTTTTTGCTTGTATGTTTGTTTAAGAGCCTTGTAGATTCTGGATATTAGACCTTCGTCAGATGCATATTTTGTAAATGTTTTCTCCCCTTCTGTAGGTCGTCTGTTTACTCTATTGATGGTTTCTTTGGCTGTGCAGAAGCTCTTTAGTTTAGTTAGGTCCCACTTGTCAATTTTTGATTTTGTTGCAATTGCTTTTAGCATTTTTGTCATGAAATCTTTGCCAGTTTCTATGCTCAAAATGGTATTTCCTAGATTATCTTTCAGGGTTTTTATAGTTTTAGGTCTTACATTTAGGTCTTAAATCCATCTTGATTTTTAATGTGGTGTAAATAAGGGGTCACGTTTCAATCTTCTGCATACGGCCAGTCAGCTACTCCAGCACCATTTACTGACTAGGGAGTCCATTTTCTGTTGCTTGTTTTTGTCACCTTTGTCAAAAATCAGATGGTTGTTGGTGTGTGGCTTTATTTCTGGGCTCTCTATTCTGTTCTATTGGGTCTCTGTGTCTGTTTTTGCACCCGTACTATGCTGTTTTGGTTACTGTAGCCTGTAGTATAGTTTGAGGTCGGGCAATGCAATTCCTCCAGTTTCATTCTTTTTGCTTAGAATGGCCTTGTCTATTTGGGCTCTTTTTTGATTCCATATGAACTTCACTTCTGTGAAGAATGCCATTGCTCATTGGAGAGGAATAGTGTGGCCATTTTATAAAAGGAAAATTTTTATTGCATTTTAGGTTTTGGGGTACATGTGCAGAACATACAAGTTGCATAGGTACACACATGGCAGTGTGTTTTGCTTCCTTTCTCCCCTTCACCCACATTTGGCATTTCTCCCCAGGCTATCCCTCCGCAGCTCCCACCCACCCCGCTGGCCCTCCCCTTTTCCCCCCAATAGACCCCAGTGTTTAGTACTCCCCTCTCTGTGTCCATGTGTTCTCATTTTTCATCACCTGCCTATGAGTGAGAATATGCGGTCTTTTATTTTCTGTTCTTGTGTCAGTTTGCTGAGAATGATGTTCTCCAGATTCATCCATGTCCCTACAAACGACACAAACTCATCATTTCTGATTGCTGCATAATATTCCATGGTGTATATGTGCCACATTTTCCCAGTCCAGTCTATCATCAGTGGGCATTTGGGTTGGTTCCAGGTCTTTGCTATTGTAAACAGTGCTTCAGTGAACATTCGTGTACATGTGTCCTTATAGTAGAACGATTTATAGTCTTTTGGATATATACCCAGTAATGGGATTGCTGGTTCAAATGGAATTTCTATTTCTAAGGCCTTGAGGAATCGCCACACTGTCTTCCACAATGGTTGAACTAATTTACACTTCTACCAACAGTGTAAAAGTGTTCCTTTTTCTCCACATCCTCTCTAGCATCTGTTGTCTCCAGATTTTTTGTGTGGCCATTTTAACGATGTTGATTCTTCTATCCATAAGCGCTGAATGGTTTTCATTTGTTTGTATCACTTCTGATTTCTTGGAGCATTGTTCTGTAATTCTCATTGCAAAGATCTTCCACTCTCTGGTTAGCTGTATTCCTAGATATTTTATTCTTCTTGTGGCAATTGTAAATGGGATTGCATTCCTGATTTGGCTCATGGCTTGGGTACTGTTAGTGTACAAGAATGCTACTCATTTTTGTACATTGATTTTGTATCTCAAAACTTTGTTGAAGTTGCTTATCAGCTCAAGAAGCTTTTCGGCAGAGAATGTGGGGTTTTCTAGATAAAGGATCGTGTCATCTGCAAACAGGGGCAGCCCGACGTCCTCTTTTCCTCTCTGGATGCCTTTTATTTATCTTGCCTGATTGCTCTGTTGGCCCAAATTTAGCTGAGCTCTTACGTCCATCTGTGCCATCCTATTTTAACAAAGAACCATGTTAAGTCAGTTTAGCAAGAACCGTTCCCCCGCCCATCCTTGATATCTGGTCACCCTCAATATCTGATTGGGTCCCTCATCCTCCACCATCCCCCAGGTGATGTCAGTCACCCTGGCCTCCCTTCAGCAAGAATCCTGTTAGGTGGGTTTAGCCAGAATCCCCTGAGCCTGGCGCTTCCTCTTGGTAACTCTCCAACTCTCCATCCACTCACCCCGAGCCCACGCCTTGGCTGTGGCGCTGTCCGTGTCCCTGTGGTGTTTGGAACTGAGCTCTGCTAGGGTTTGGGTACTGGACCCTGCAAACCTCATGTTGAAGTTTGATGCCCACCGTGGGATTTGGGGCCTAGTGAAAGGTTTTTGGGTCATGGGGGTGGATCCCTCGTGAAGAGACTAATACTCTGGAAATTCCCACGAAAGCTGGTTGTTAAAAGAGTCTGGCTCTCCCTCCATGCCATCTCCTGCTTTCTCTCTTCATCTGAGCTCTGCACACGTATGTGGCCATGAGTGGAGGCAGCCTGAGGCCTCCCTAGATGCAGGCACTGGCACCATGCTTCTCACACAGCCTGCAGAACTGTGAGCCAGAAGCCTCTTTTCTTTATAAATTGCCCAGCGTCAGGCGTTCCTTCACAGCAATGCAAGATGGACTGAGAGGAGCCCGGTCTGTCTCCCCCAGCACCACCCCTGTGCCAGTCGCACGGGCCCTGAATCAAATCTTCCTGCGTTTCAACAGGTGTCATTCAATGTTTGTTTCTTCACCCCAAGCCCCTCTCGTGGGAGGGCGCTGATTAGGAATGACCTGATTTTGGGACAAGGCGGCTCCAACGTCCTCCATCTCTCACTGTTGCCAGTGGAGACGGCTGAGGGCAGTGGGGAAGGTCGTTGGCGGTGGTGGCACACCCTGGAGCCCTGGTCTCTCTGGTTACAGTTTGAATGTCCTGCTGCATCTCCCTGCCATGTGGAGGGGTGTGATTGTGTGGATATGGGGGATGAGGTCTCCCTTCCCACCAAGGACAGAAGGACAGTCCTAAGATGGGGTTGGAGCCCTAGATGAGAGTATGAGCCTCATGGTCGGGGGGTGCGGGGCAGGGCTGCCGTTAGCCACGGTAGTGATATATCCTCCTCTAGGACTGGGCATGGGGAGGTGGCGGCATCTCCCACCCCACGGTGTGGAATCCAGGGGGTCCTGGGCACAGAGGGACAGGGACGGCACGTGTGGGACGGATGCTGCCTGCAGCTCCTTATTGAGACTGTTTAGTCCTGTTTTAAGCATGAAAACTCAGTGACGCCCTGGCCCTTGGTACACATCTAATGCTGCGAAGGAAGCAGCAACATGACCCGCGGTTCTAGAAAACATCCAGTTTGTTTCGGCGTCTGAATACATGTTCAGGGCCTCAGGAAGCAGACGGATGGGACCCTCCCCAAACAGAGACCGCTTGAATGTGAAATCGGAAGTTTAATATGACACAATTAAATATATCTATACATTTCACACTGGAGGATTTCTCTCGAAACATAAGGAGTTAGAAATTACAAGTAGGTAATATGCTCCCTATATTCGGATAAATTCATTTCTATTAATTATTTAAATTCCAGACAGAAAGAATTTTGGAAAGAAACGGTAGCGATGTAAAAGCAGTGTTACAATACCACGTGGAGACGCAGGTGGCATGTTGGCATTGCTCTGTCGGCTCAGCAGGTGGCTTTCCTGCTCCTGCCTTCGGCGTGTCTGATCTAAGACCGGAGGGACGCTGTGCGGTGCGGCAGGTGGAGGCGCGTTTTCTACCCTCAGCCCTGCGTGGGAAATCTGCAGCCCACACAGCCGCCTCTGTGCCATCTTCCATGTGATTGTCTGGGTTAATGAAGCGAATTATCCTATTTCTGGGGTACAGGGTGATGGTGAACCTGATACACAAATGTTATTTTGTCAGATCTGAATCATCTCTGTGTGCTTAGGTTTACATGATGTGCAAACATGTGGCTCACTAAGTGAGGTGGCAGGGTGGCTGTGTGCGCCCCTCACTTCCCTTCCTGGCTCTAAGCGGCACGTGAGGTCTCCCTGCATCTCTCCTCTCCCGGGAAACGCTCTCGGGCGTCTCTGGGATGTGTTGGAGGGGACAGCGGGGGCCAGGCAGGGTTGGCGCTCCCAGGACCTCACCGCTTGCTAAATGCCCAGACTTGTTCTTCCTGGTTCTTGTTATCTTACAGGCAGGCATTCACGGGGCATCTGCTTTCGTAATGCAGAAATCGGTATTTTAACACTGAAAACACGTCTCAGTGTTGGGTGCAGCTGTGACTTTGCAAAGGTGAGGTTGGGGAGTTCCAGCCTTGAGCAGGTGTCTGCCCCGGGGAGAGCCCCTGAATCTCTCCTTAGGGTGACAGGTGTGGCTGCCGGGGGCTGTCTGTGGTGCTCAGGGCAGTGCTGATGCTGATGGGGATGCAGGTGCCGTGACTGTCTCCCTTGCCCCGAAGCTGCAGGACGTACGGTTCTGTCCCAGTGGGTTTCTCCCAGTGAGAATGGTCTTGAAGACAAATACCAAATGTGAGTTGTGTGCCGGGTGGCTGGCAGAGTGCAGCCAGCTTCCCCTGCTCCTGCACGGCAGACCCGCCTGGACAGTGGCAGCGGGCAAGCACACTCTTCCGCAAACCGCCTCCAACACGCTGGCTGCGGCACCGTTAACGCTACATTACTTGCTTCTAAGAATGTGATGGGTGCTTTAAGAAAAAGTATTTTTTTAAGAAGTGAAAATCGATGAACCGATTCCCCTCCACCCATAACCACATTTTCCCACAAATCTCTCTTTATTATTGTTTGATTAAACAAAAGTACACATTTTAATTGCTAAACTGCACTGACTACGGGAGAGCTAAGGGCCCTATTACTATGCAGTTATAATAGAAGACACACAATTAAAGTTGGACCAGGATCCCTGACAACATCCGTGGGGCGGGGGCGCCCCCGAGGCCCCCGGGCCGTGCTGCTCACTGGGGAAGGGCCTTGAGGATGGCGTTCACCTCCTCAGCCACGGCTGTCAGCGCGAACTCAAACTGCTCCTGCGGGCGAGAAAGGAGAGAAGAGCCGGTGAGAGCGCGTACTCTCCTCCCACCGCAGCGTCAGCTCCACGGGCTCTTTTGCAGAAAGAGCTCTTTTGTTTAGCAACAAAAGTGAAAGGCTCAGTTTTCCTTGGAAAGGGAAGTGGACCCTTTGGTTTGGGACACCGAGGCAACTGGAGTTTCTCTTGTACTAGAAAGCCTCATCTTCCCCCCCGGGGGAGAAGCTGCCCACAGAAGCAGTGGGAAGGAAATGGCTCCCTGCATCCTGACCCGTCCTTCTGACCCTATGATTGCAGGATGCCTCCTCATGGCTGCCCGCCTTGGTGGACGGAGGGAGGGGCAGGTGCAGACACCAGACAGACGTGGCATTAACACTGACAGAGGGCCAAGCTTGGGCGTTTCTGTGCTCGAAGTGTGGTGTGATCACTTTTGAGATCCACCTGTTACTCAGCCCCAAACACACTCCGCTCCACGTGCCGAGACACCTCCCCTTCTCCACACCCCTCCTGGCTTGGTGGGTGCATGTCCACAGCCACTCGGGCAGGCACACCGGAGGGCATCCCTCCCTTGCATGCCAGCCTGCCAAGAACATCAGTGGGCGTGAGGGACGGGTTCACAATGCCAGGACTATTCGCACCTCCAAAGACCCAGGCTTAGCACTGGAACTCTGTCCTCTCTTGCAGGTGAGGTGGATAAATGCTAATTTCCTCATGCTCTTTGGTTTCCAGCTCAAACACTGCCATGGAAAAGCCGAGAGCAGGCTGCAGCGCTCCAGCTACAGGCGAGAACACATGGATGGTGACAAGCAAGCACCCTGCCCCCAGCCAGCAGCTTCTGGAAGGAAAGCCCTGTCACTGGCTTAAATACTTGCTCATTTAAGGAACACAGTAGCCCTGAATAAAACACGATTAATTTCCATTTCTGAATGTTTAGTGTGTAACAGAAATGTGGAGAATAGCTTGAACCAAACATCAGAAAGTCAACATAACGTTATGCCATTTTGAGACAAAAGACAGCTTCTCCTTTCATATCCCCCCCCGCTGAGGCTGACGGAGGATCCACTGGGGGCCACACTGCCCTTGGTGGCATGGCCACAGGGCCTCTTAGTGGACGTGTTGGAAGCTGTGATTGAAGGAGTCAGCTGAGTGTGGCCGTCGCATCAGGGCAGGCGCTGTGAAGCTGTGTGCGTGCGCCTGTTCTCTCCCACCTCTGCACTGGCAGAGGGCACTGTTCCTCTCCTGGAAATCATGTGGAGAGCTGCCTTGGACGGGGGTGCTCTGGTCTGGCTGTGCCAGGAAGTGTTCTGCCTGGATGCTGGTTCCTGCCCATCTCTCACACACCGAGTTTGTTCATGAAGGTGCTGTTTACAGGATCCAGAGAATCACACCCACAGCTGCCCAGGCAATTCCTCCCCCATGCTGGGGCTGCCAGGGCACCCATGAAGGCTTTGTAAGGACTTGAAGGGACAAAACAAGTGTGGCTTTTAGGGAAGCTACATGTGAGTGTCATCTACCCATTTACATCTTGTGACACACTGGAACCTAGCCTGAGAAATGATCTTTAAGGGAAGAATAGAGAAGGGCTGAGGCCCCGCAGCCCCATCACGTGCGGAGGCTGGGCGGCACTGATGCCCAGGCCGGGGGCTGATCACTCAAGCTGCCCAGCCTCTCATGCAGCCACTTGGGCATCCAGCAGCAAAGCCCAACATTCGTGCTAGGGGAGAGAAGACAGGTAGGTGAGCTGCACCAGGGTCTCCATCGTAACTATCCACAACATTGCACAAGTTGTCAGAGCAGCAGAGAGGGACCTGGGCCGCGGAGACGGTGCTCTATTCACTGGCCACGTTTGGCATTGTTACCACCCCTGTTTGGCCTAAGGAGAGGATGCTCGGCTGGGTGCGTGGCTGGTGTGCACTGGGCACCGTACTCGGGGAGTGTGGCTGGTGTGCACTGGGCACCTTACCTGGGGTGCGTGGCTGGTGTGCATTCAGGCACCTTACTCAGGGAGTGTGGCTGGTGTGAGGCCGGGCCACCTTACTTGGGGAGTGTGGCTGGTGTGAGGTAGGCACCTTACTTGGGGAGTGTGGCTGGTGTGCACTGGGCACCTTACCTGGGGTGCGTGGCTGGTGTGAGGCAGGCAACTTACTCAGAGGATTGTGGCTGGGATGAGGCGGGCACCTGTACTCGGGGAGTGTGGCTGGTGCGAGGCGGGCACCTTACTCGGGGAGTGTGGCTGGTGTGAGGCGGGCACCTTACTCGGAGATTGTGGAGCTGGTGTGAGGCGGGCACCTTACTCAGGGAGCGTGGCTGGTGTGCTCTGGACACCTTACTCGGAGAGTGTGGCTGGTGTACTCTGGGCACCTTACTCGAGCGTGGCTGGTGTGCGCTGGGCACCTTACCCGGTAGCGTGGCTGGTGTGAGGACGGGCACCTTACTCAGGGAGTGTGGCTGGTGTGCTCTGGACACCTTACTCGGGGAGTGTGGGCTGGTGTGCGCTGGGGCACCTTACCCGGGGAGTGTGACTGGTGTACTCTGGGCACCTTACTCGAGCGTGGCTGGTGTGCGCTGGGCACCTTACCTGGGGGGCGTGGCTGGTGTGCCTTGGGCACCTTACTCGGGGAGCGTGGCTGGTGTGCTCTGGGCGCCTTACTCGGGGAGCGTGGCTGGTGTGCTCGGGCACCTACTTGAGCGTGGCCTGGTTGCGCTGGGACCTTACCTGGTAGTGTGGGCTGGTGTACTCTGGGCAACCTTACTACGGCGTGGCTGGTGTGCCTTGGGCACCTTACTTGGGGAGCGTGGTGGTGTACTCTGGGCAGCCTTACTCGGCGTGGCTGGTGTGCCTTGGGCACCTTACTCGGGAGCGTGGCTGGTGTACTCTGGGCACCTTACTCCGGGAGCGTGGCTGGGTACTCTGGGCGCCTTAACCGGGGAGCGTGCTGGTGTGCTCTGGGTGCATTACTCGGGGAGCGGTCTGGTGTGCTCTGGGCGCCTTACTCCGGTAGCATGCTGGTGTGCTCTGGCGCCTTACTCGGGGAGCGTGGCTGGTGTGCTCTGGCGCCTTACTCGGGAGCGTGGCTGGTGTGCTCTGGGGCGCCTTACTCGGG